ATATTTTAGTTAAAATTATGTATTTTTATTTTGTTTTTGTTTTTTGTTTTGTATGTGGTTAAACTCTCAATTGAGTGTATCATTTTTGGCTCATGAAGAGAAAATAATACAAAATTATATGCTTGTATTTTTACAGTTTTATTGAAAATTACTCAAGACCTTTATTTCCTTGTAAACCAATAAATCTCAAATTTATTTTTTTATTTATAAATGAGAATATTCAAAATAAGCTCTGTTATATTAAGAAAAATAATCAGAAAAAAAAATGTTGAGATATTATGTGTTAACTGACTATTTCTACTCCTGGCAGATAAGTTTGATTATGCATTAATGATCAAACATACATATTCATGTTCTGCTAGAAAGATCTTCTTGATGTGTTTTGGTACATTAGTGTTAAAAAGTTTTCATACTGCCAGCAGGACCTGACTGTTTTATTTGCTAATCCTTCCGTTTTTACTCCTAGTTTGGTTCTAGTTCTTACTCTAACTGTTTGTCACTAATATAATGGGTGAATAAACCTTTAATTAAAAATTTTATTTTCTCCTAGCTATTAAAATAATGATGATTTGCAAATTAAACAACCACTTTTAGTTTTAGTATAAAATTTAAGTTGATAATTAATTAATTAAACAACAAAAAACCATTACTGACTAATCATTCAAATTTTTTTTAATAAATATTTTTTTTCAATTTTATCAAAACATTTATTCTCTTGTTAACACATAACCAGATAACATATAGTAAAAAGGATGGAGAAAGTTAAAATCATTATTACAAACTTTTATTAAAATGTTTTTTCTTGTTCACTTATTTATTTATCAATACTATGTTTGGTTAGTAATAGCTAAATTTCCCAGTTTCCAATAGTGATAATCTATTTAATATGTTTGATGTATTTACACACTAAAATGTTACACAAATTGACTCAAAATCTCAAGTTTGATAATCTAAACACAATCTTTCAAAATACTAAAAACTATAATTTATCTAATTAAAAATGAAAAGAAAATATTCTCCAGCATCATAAAAGTATTAAAAGGAAACAGGAGCTTTACTTATATTTATAAAACCAATATTTTTTTCTCTGATCCTCAAATATTTCAGAGATTTTATTTTACTTTTTATTTTTATTTTTTTTTTGTAGTTCCTGGCTCTCCAGAACAAATAAAAGCATTGGTCGTAACATCAGATAGCATTTTGATAGCCTGGAATCCTCCAGTTCAACCTAATGGAATCATTACAAAATATAGTGTTTACATACATCAAGGAAACAATGTAAGAATCAATTTTACGTAAATTAAAAAAAAAATCTTATATGTATTATATTAATCATGTCATCATATTAGCAATATATTGTGGAACAAAGAAACTTTATCAAAGTCACCTTGAAAAAATAAATTTATTTTAACTACTCCAAAATTAAAATTTATTTATTTTAGTATACTTTTTCACTATACTAATAGGCTCATCTTTAGGGGCATTACGGGATTAAACTGATTCATTCCTTCAGAGTTCTCTTCTAAAGTTGTAAAGTGGATAAGATTTCAAATATCCTTTTTACAAAAGCTTTCTTGGCACAGGTAAAACAATTCATCATGCCAATGATCTATAGCTTGCAGGTTTTGCATCCAAGGATTTAGATTATGATCAGCTGGTACATGGTATTGGACTGTCTTTAATCAAAACCAAAAAAATATCAGGGTGTCTCCAGGAAGGTACCTATCTTGTTGTGATCCTTAGCTCTACACATAAACAACCGTGAGGAGTCACTCCTACACCATTTAATTTTCTCTCCGATATCCATGTGGAAATCTTGGTTCTCTGACCCTTCTTGCTGCACCACTGTGCTGTTTTATTGGATTTGACTCTTTTGGATCCCTAGTCCACCACAAGGCTTTTGTGGATGTTGATGAGATTGAGACTATTAATTAAGTCCTATTTCTGTATCAACCTCTTCAGTAAACTTTGCTTTTACTCTCAATTACCTTATTCCGAAGTTTGGGGTATTATCATTCATACCGTTTTTAGTCTTTGTATGTGCTTAAGGTGATGTGAAATCCTAAGTTTCTTGAAAGGGATCCTACTCTATAAATAGTGTAAGTTTATATATTATATTACTATTTGATATAATCTGAGACATAGAATCCTATGATCAAAGATAGATCTCTATGGGAAGCGGCTTTTTTCAGGCTGAAGCCCTTCCCTGAAAGGACAATTTTGGGACTTGTATCAGCCTCAAGCACCTGAGAGAAACTTTCTAGGGTAAAAGCACCAGTAGCTGACATGCTTAAGGAAATTTATTTGAACTTTTCAGTGTAAAAATTATATTTTAATTTTGTACTTTTTTGTTATTCTAAAGAGACCTCGTCCCAGAATAACATTATTTTCTATTCTAATATCTTAAATATTGATGTTATTGTATTTTTCTTGGATTCGTCTTATAGAACTACTTCTCACCTATGCCAAGACACATTTAAAATCTAGGAATCATTCTCATCTAATTCAAATTCTTAAGTTCCGAGACAGGAGAAGTGAGCTAAGTAGTTTTGTCACAGAAAAATAACAAGCATTTCGCTAGTTCAGCCTAACCTTAATCTCTTCTTGAATTTCGTTTTGTCTAGTTATCGTAGACCCTAGATACCTAAACTTCTCTAGGTGTTCAAACATATTCGCTTCTATATTGATATCACTGAAATTATCATCATTTTTGCAGCTAACCACATATTTTGTCTTATCTGTGTTCATTGTAAGCACCAGTTTTTTTTTTACCGGCTTTCATTAACATTGCCGTATTTAGTTTTATAGTTTCTGTGTCTTCGCTTAACGGGACCAAATCATCCACCTAGCCAAGCACGGGTGTTATCCCAACCAGATTCAACCATTTTTCGTTGCGCATTACCTTCCTAATGACATCTCAAATTAAACTGGACATGTGAAACCTTTTTTAAACCCGAACAAACTTTTTGGATAAATAATTACGGATTCTAACTTTATTGAGTGTTTCCGTCAAGCACATCCTAACTAGATTGACTAATTTTTTTGGAATCTCTTGCTTAATTAAAATATTATACAATTTCTGGTGGTCAATAGAATCGTAAGCCTTTTTGAAATCGATATACAGCTGGTGAATAACACCGTTGTACTTCAAATTTTTTTCCAATATTTGCCGTAAAGAAAATATTTATCAATAGTTGAACGGTTCTGTCTAAATCCGGATCGATAGTATCTGATAATTTCCTCGGCATATTCCGTGATTTGATTAATAAGGATTAATGAAAATATTTTATGACATACTGGAAGGAGTGAGATTCCTCGATACTTATTACTGTTAAGTTAAAGCAACTTATTTGACAAGACTGCTTAGTTGTTATAAACAAGGCAGGTTGGCTTGGTATATGTTACCAACACAGTGGTAGTCCTTTGTTTATTGTTGTGTGATGTTTATGTAGAGAAATAAAGGTGTTTTGTGTATTTGTGGTGTAAAAGTTTTTAACAAAGGCTCATTTATTCCTGAAGTTATTTCCTAATATCATATAGGGGCATCCCTTGTGTGTGGAAATTAAGGATAATGAGTGCTGAAGAGTTGAAAATTGCCAAATTAGAAAGAGCTCAGAATTTTATTTTCAACTTTAGCTACTTCGGTTGAAAATAAAATAGCTAAAAATGATCCTGAGGTCAAAAATGAATTTAGAAAACTAGAACCAAGCTAAATATCTATTAGAGTTTGAGAAAAAGATAAGAGCTTTAATACTATTTGATGAAAAGGAACTGAAGGATGAATTCGATACATCCATAAGTTATGAGGACAAGTGGATAGAAACCAAATTCGATGCTTTAGTTGGGCATTCAAATGAAACTTGGCATGATGATGATGATATTTCAGCAACTACCAGTTCTTCAAGAGAGAAATTACAATTACAGAAAGAAAAGGAAGAAATATGTTCACATAGCCTTTAAGGGATGAGGAAACAAACTAGATTGTGCACGATGTCAAACTTGAAAATTTAATAGGTAAATTTTCTTTTGAAGTACAATTGTTGGACAACATAAAAATTTGCAGTGATATCCCTAGATCAAATGATGAAGAATGCCTACAAATATTAAAAAGAAAGAATACACCATGCAGCGATGGTGATGATGGAAGAGACAAGCAACAAGTTGAGTTGATACTTGGAGCAGATGTCATGGGATAAATTCGAAAATTTGACAGCCATAGAAACTACGATAGGTTGGACGATTATCGGCCAAACTAGAGCATAGGCCTGTTCCATGCTAAGAAGTCCTAGGAGAAAGAGATCTTTACAGCGCTTTAACTCTAGTGCAAGTAAGTCATCATTCAGGGCAACCTGGGACATCTTCGACCCATTTCAATATTTAATTTAATTAATGTAACTATTTTGGTAGTGATTCCCGACATGACTAAAGTATAGCAGAGAAATATATGAGAAGAAAATATAGAAGCCACAAATTCATGAAATAGAGGTCTAGGAGATCCTGAAATTTTATTATTCTGGTTTTTCGAGTTGGATGTCAGGTGTCGGTACATTGTCAGTCACTGGCATTAGTGTATCCAGGATTTAATTTTTGGGGGTGGGGGCTTCAGCCTGAAAGATTTTTTTTCATATATATAACAATAATTAATTTGAAAAAAAAAGAGAAAGAAATGAACTACCTATATGAAATGGTGTTTAAGTGATTCTTGAAGTCCTATTAAATGTAATTACACGAACAATAATACTTTAAGAGATAGTTTTTAATATTTTTTTCTATAAAACATAGTTATATTTTACCTTCAGCCCGAAAGCCCCCCTCCCCCCATAAATCCGCCTGTGGCCACTGGTACTTTTACTCTAGCAATATTCGTTTTTAAGTTCTACAAATGAAAACTATTAGCAAAGAATTTAATATCTCACTTTATTAACTAATATAATAACAATTATTTAATTGATTATTCTTAGAATGTTCAGAAAGAGGTTATTTATCGAAGTTCAGCATTAATGTTCGAATGGCGAAGGCTGAAAGAGCATCATCATTATGACTTTTGGGTGACAGCATCTACTGAAGTTGGTGAAGGATCTAAAAGTATGAAAGTAACTCAAACACCTGAATCCCGTGGTATGTATTAGCATACAAACAGTTGCAGCAACTGAAAATAGTTGACTAATTCTTTTAAAGCTTCTTTGAACAATTTTTTATTCAATGGATATAATTTTTCTGGTCAAATATTTATCAATGAGCAATGAATCTTAATGAAGGCAATAGAAAAATGAATTCTAGCTTTTCATCATTCCTAATTCCTTATCATATATATAATTATCCATTCATGAAATATATTTTTATCATACTTCTCTTTCCCTAAGGAGAAATTTGAATTTTTTTTATTTATTCCAGTATCTGGAGAAAATCCCATGTTATGAATCATGGTATTATAAGAAATAATAATTGTACACTTATAAGTTATAAAATGTACAGAGAATATTTATTTATACATCATAAAATTACACTGACACTCATCCATGCTTCCTCATTATTGTTTGACTTAAGTTAATTTTAATCAAATAAAACCAATAAACGATAACTGTAATTAATTTTATTTGTTACTTATATTATGACTGGCTTGCTATGGCACTTTTCTTATGTTTCTTTTATTTATATATTTATCTGTTATTATTTATTCCATCATATACATGATTAGTTTATACTTGCAAATGATGATTGACTTACAAAACTATGGTATTTTTGTCAGGCATTAATTAGTGAGAATATAAAATACATTTCATTGTAATGTATTTTTTTAAAATCTTTTTTTCCCATTTATTGCAGCCAATATGGAATATTTACTTTTTTTATCTTAATACATTTGTATATTTTGATTATGTATATTTTCTTTATAACTATATCATATATATTCCGTAAACCCCGATATATCCCAGGGATTTTCTCCGGCTATATCGTTAAAAAATAGCTATAAAAATAGCTCCGGCAAGAATAGCTTGTTGCCTGTCACATGACATAAAAAAGAAAGTATGGCGCTACATGCACGAATACCTTCATGAGGTATCTTGTTCCGTCACAGTCTCCCTAAAAAAACTCAAGATTTGCCTTTCCAGGTAGTGACGGGCGATTTTCCACATCTGGGATTTTGGTTTCTCCAGGATATTCGTTGAGCTGCACTGATCGTCCTCTTTGTCAAGAGACATTTAAAAGAATGTGATATTTTTTAACATACTGTGACTCCCTAGGCCACACATTTTACCCGTGACATACAGGACATTGAGTCTTCTTTAAAATATATCCCCTTCAGGCTGGACTTATGAAGTGGTCATGCTCATATAGTAAGAATATTCATAGTGTGGCAACTTAATCTAGTGTATTAGTAATAATCATGTAGACAAGATCCTCAGTTCATGACTGGGTTTTCTTTTTTATTTAAAAATATAATTTTTATAATTTAATATATATTTATAATAGAATTTTAAATTTATCAATCAAATTAATTTCTAAAACTCAATTAATTAAAATTTGTAATTATTCATCATCCATAAAATAGTATGGATTTATTAATTTATGTAGATTTTGTTTTGAAAATTAATACATTCTGCCGCATTGGGGAGCATTAATATTAGGGCTACATTAAACATTCACACAATATATACATACAAATGGTTGTAGATCTATGAATTTATTTTTAATTTAGTTATCTGTATGGTTTACAACTGTAATTTTAGAGCAAAAGGTATTTTTTGTTTCTTTTTTTAGTATTATTATAAGAGAAATTGCTTTAATTTATTTTTATTATAGTTTTCTGTGACATGTACTGGTTAATTAATTTTTTTAAATATATAATTAATGCTATTTGGCATTTATTCATACATATTTATCCTCATGGATTTATATCATTTTAATATTTTTTAAAATTATTGGATAGGGCTTAGTAAGTAAACCATTTGGTTTTCTTTTGAGTATTATTCAGCTCTTAAACTATGTACCTGAGAAGTGAGGTGTGCTTTCATTGTTATTCTGCAATAGTATTTCAAGTATTAACAAATAAATGAAGAATTTTTTTTTTTGTTAACTTAATTTTTTTTTATAGCACCAGCAAGAATAGCATCTTTCTCTGATAGGCGATTAGGGGGAGAAGGCTCAAGAGTTATTCTTGAATGTTATGCTGTAGGGTTACCTGCTCCAGCTATCATATGGAAAAACTCCCTTGGCCATATTCTTGCTGATACCAAAGAAAATTACCGGTAAAGTATATTTGTGAGAATTAAAACTAGATTTTTTTTATTTTTATTTTTTTATAAAAACCAATATAATACATAAATATATTGATAGTAAATTCATTTATAATAATTAATAAGAGAAGGAAAATTTGTAAAATCAAACAAACCTTTGAATCTCTCAAATACCAGCTAATAACTAACCAGTCAATACATTCTCTATTAGGCTTCATCAGGAATAAAAAAATCACATTAATACAAACCAGAAACAACACATGTCACTTAAACAGCCTAAATTAAACCAAATAAATTAGAAAAAACCTCTCCATAAACGGTCCAAAATCACTGAATATATACTTATAAATATTATAACAGCATATTTTGAACTGCTTACAAGTGATGAGGTTTGTTCAGAAAGTTCATATAAAAGAGGAAACAAAATTAGTTTAAGTTTAAATGTGTGCAGAGATATTGTTGTGATGGCAGATCCACCACCCTGAGATAATGATGACAGACAGTACTTGTTGAGGTGTTACTACATTAACATTCTCGAATCTGGCCTGGGCAGTTTGAAATTAATTTTGTATCCGGTTCATGGAGTGGATATAGACCTTCCCACTCTGGTTAGAATAGGTTTGGGATTGCACCTCTATAACAAGCTCTCCCCTGATGAGGATGTATGTAGTAATCGAGAAAACAAAAAGATCCACTTTCCTCTCGAACTAAGTTAGATTAAACCCGAGTTACACAAACTTTGATGGGTCTGAGAAGGTCAGCATAGAAGTTTGCATTTATAGACCAGCCTGGAGGGACACAATCTTGGTGGATAATTTGTCTTCTAAGAATAAAAAAATCAGCATTGTCTTAACATTTGTCCTCGATTTCCTTGACTTTTTCATTCTTACTTCTCCCTGCTTGAGATGGATTTCATAGCTGTCCTCATCTAGAATTGTCAGAATTTTTATGTTGCTTTGCTGCTCTTCAACAAGAAAAGCTCCATGCTGATGGCAAGAGAAAAATAAGTACTTATAAACGTGATAAATGTTCCCAGAATATATACCTTAGTGATTTCCTATTGTCTGTCGTGGAGATGATTTTCAATAAAAATCCTTACATCAAGCTTGTCCATGTCTGTTATCAAGCTTGTTCAGAAGTCATTAAAATTACTGAAATCAGATGAGGATAGTAAATTTCTGCAGATAGTAAAATTCTTTAGAGAAAAGTCTACCATATATATATATATATATATATATATATATATATATATATATATATATATAGTATATATATATATACTATATATATATATATAGTAAAATTTTCCATAGCAGACACTTTCTATTGTGTATAAATATTTATATACAATGGTATAATTTTTTAAATACAACAATGGAAAAGGTATAATAAAAACTGCATAATAAAAACCATGAAGAATGGTGTAAAAACTGGAGGATTAAAATATATTCCAATAAATCTCATCAAATCACCTTTACCGTTCGCCATAAACTTATGACCTCCTATCGTACATTAACCTTTAATAATACCCCACTTATCCATGTTAAACAAATCCGACACCTTGGACTCCACTTGGACAAATGTCTAACTTGGAATCCTCATACCAGACTGAAACGACAAAAAACTGTTCAATGTTTCCACTTACTAGACAAATGCTTCAAGCTTCCAGTTAATTACAAAAGACTCATATATATGACTACAATAACACCTATTTGGACATATAGAGTTGAACTTTAGGGCTTCACTAAGCCATCGAATTCCTCTTCTATCCAATCCTTACAATCCAAAATTCGTAATGCTCCTTACTTTGTCACAAATAAAAGCATCCATAACGACCTTAATGTTCCTTATGTTTCTGACCTGGCCCAATCCAGATACCTATCCTTCCATAACAAACTTCAGAACCATCCTCTTATTTCTAATCTTGCTTCCTCTTCAATCCCTGATAACCCTCCGAGCTGTCTGAAAAGAAGATGGCATCGTGATCTCATATTGTAAATACATTTTTAGAGTGCCACCAGTAGGTAGTTTCTCAACAAGTGGTTTCATGTTATTATATTCTTGTGTTCACATTTGCTGAATTTATTTTTATTTCTAATACAATTGTAAATATCATAAATAAAAATAAAAATAAAATTGAAAAATGAGTTGTATTAAACAAATAATTTTGAATTATAAATGGTCGACCACCCCAACAATAACTGACAATAATATCAAAAAATTTTACCTTGAGAAAAGTAAAGACACATCCGGTGCTTTTATTGTTGTTATTAATTCAATTGAAAAAGAATTGTATTAAACAATTAACTTTGATTTATGGATGGTAGACTACACCAACAATAACTGCAACTATATTTTCAGTCAACATGCCATGTACAGTTATTTAGTTAGTAGAATTAAATGTCCTAAAATCTACAATCTTCAACAAAATAAACACTTACCCCTCAATAATCATTCAATACCAAAGGACACTTTTGATAACCTTAGCTTAATGTAAACAAAGCATTTAATGTTTTAAATTTTCTTTGGAAGAGGATAGACTATCCCTTATATATATATATATATATATATATATATATATATATATATATATATATATATATATATATATATATATATGTTAATTCCATACATCAAAGTTTTGTATATATACACTATAATTAAAGTTTTAATGTATGGAATTCACCAGGTGCACCCTTCCCTCCCCTCCTTCTCTGAGAAAATTCCTGGATCAGTAACTAGTTTACAGTTGTTAATTGTTTCAGGATTTTAGCTGACCATAGCCTATTGTTACATCCATTAACAAAAGAATCAGCTGGTAATTATAGCTGCATTGCTGAAAATGTTTTTGGACATGACAGTATATTATATGAATTAGTGGTTATATCCCTTCCAAAATCTCCAGATGTTGCTATTGTTCACACAACAGGAAATTCAATTGATGTTCAGTGGATGGCAAAACAAGATGATCTGCCTTACATTACTGGTAAAAATATTTATTTCCTTGTTTAAAACTACTTTAACAGTTGCCTTAGAGTAGATCTTGTACTATTGAAAATTTTCAGTAGACCAAATTTTACAATAGTTTATTATTTACAAAATGTAATCTGATAACAGCACATTAATACTTTCTATGCCTCTCAAGCATTCTTCAAGAATGCTGATTTAACTTTTAAAATTATCCTGAATTAATGTTTTTTTTATTTTATGTATAGCTAATAAAGTTTTTAAACACATTTTCTTTTTATATTAAAAATGTATTCCTATGGAATTTTTGGGAACCATTACTATATAACTTATTAGAGGTTGTTTAAAATAAGTAAAAAAAAGTTAATTTTTCATTTTTTAAATATGTTTTTTGCACATTAAGTGATTGCTAATAGTTATAAAACCATCTTAACAATAAAAAATAAAAAAAGTTACAATCTTTATCTTTTAGGTTATATTCTAAACTATAAAAGCTCTGAAAATGAATGGAAACAATTGTACCTAGAATCGGACAGAAGAAGCTACAAATTAAAAAATTTGAGGTGTGGAACTGTCTATTTTTTAAGCATTCAATCCAGCAATATTGTTGGTGAAAGTGATATCAACTCTCTTATAAAAGCATCTACTAGGGGAGGATGTAAGTATATAATCTGAATTTGAATTTTTTGCTTAAAAACTTCAGAATTTTTATATATGTAAAATTGAAAATTTTAATTGTATACAATATTGTGTGAGTGTAAACTTTTGTCTATCCATAAACTTCTACAGCATGCTGTCTCAGGTGAATTAAGGAATTTATCCTTACATGAGGAATTATTAGCCATGAAGATTATTACAAGTAGAACACATTATATTACTAGAGTAGGGGATATTGTTAAACTGGTATTTCATTATGAATTTATTTTTGGTTCTCCATTTAAATTTTTACTTAAAAAGGTATTTTTTCTGGAGATAGAAAAAAATTATTCTAGAGACATTTAAAATTTATCAAGTAGTTTTATCCCTTACAAAACTTTGCCAGAGTTTTTATATGGCAAAAGACAAGTTAAACATCCTAAGCTTCACTACCAGAATGGGGTGGCTACTGAAGCAAGATTTCTAACTGGTATCAGAAACTGGAAGGCAGCAGTGAGAACAGTTGAATATAATCTAAGATAAGGCAGACTTAACAACTGGGTCATTATGCCAGCTAATAATAATAATGCAAGTAGTTTGTAATCCAACAACAGGGTAGTATAGATTAGATAGATTTATACTATGAATGATTTAGTATTGATTTAATAATGATTAGTAATGATTTAATACAAGAGCTTTAGAAATTTAATGATCCATGTATTACTGTAAAAATTATATGACAAAAAATAGGAAAAGAATAAAAGTGATCATGAAAAGAAATTGTTCAAGTCTTTGGAGTTAAAAAAAAAAATCATGTCCAGTACATGCAATGATTGACTATAAAGATATAAAAATTGATTATATATATATATATATATATATATATATATATATATATATATATATATATATATATATATATGTATATATATAGTATACTTGTGGTTATGCTTTTTCTTTAATTAGCTAAAGTCAAAATAAGGCAGTAGCAGAAGTGTTTTGAAGACAATGACTGGTAAAATTTGGTCAGAATTGTACTAATTTACATTTGAAGATTGATGAAATTGAACATGACCTTGTTTAATTTTGGAGGAAAATAACTTTAATTTTGATTTATTGTTTTGTTTTAATTTGATTAAACAATTAATGTTACTACAAATGGAAATCCAAAAAGTAAATAATATTAATGTTTTCAGTTTCTCAGATTCTTACATGTATTGTTTTTCCTAGTATTTTTTTTTTCCATTCCAATGGATGCAATGAGTGTTGCTACCTTATTTTATTGGTGTAAATAAAACAATAAAGATAAAAATAAAAATTATGAATAAATAAACAAGTAAAATTCACCCTTTACACCCCTTTCAGTTACTCCAGTAGAAGGTTATAGATAAATAACTTAAGGCAGACTTCAGT